GTGGAATATCAGTTAGAATCGTAAAGTAATGGCTTTCTTTTCCTTTTTTCTCTGTGTTATTGAAGCCTTGTGGATCATGGGTAACAAGGAAAGGCCGTGTCAACAGAGTGACATTAAGCCCAATCATAGAACTTTTGCAAGAGGGTTTTGTGCCAGTTCTCCATGGTGACTGTGTATTAGATGATGCACAGAGTTGTGCTATACTGAGTGGAGACAAAATCATTGAGGTTTGTCCTGGTGATTAGACAAGATTAGATTACGAGCAGTCCCCCTTTTCGGCGGAGTCCGTCGGGCGAGTAAAAGAAAATAATAAAAAAATTATGTTAACGCGCCGCGCGGAACTCTTATGTTAAAGATTTAGGTGTAAACAAGTATCCACGAATCTAAATGAGAGAAGCGAGGACATGCTAAACAGCAGACTGCAAACTGCGGCCTGTAGTTTTTTTAAAAATACCTCAATCGTCAAGTCTCGTGTATTAAAGGGACATTCAGAAGAGGGAACTGTCTACTACAGGCACTTCTCTCAGATGGATCATTTCGCTCTGACGAAGGGCTGACGCGCGAAACTCTTTACGGTGGCCAATTTACCTTATCACAGGCTCAACTCAGTTGATAAAACCAAATTATTTTGTTTGCCACAGGGCAGGGTGCCATTAGATATCTGTGCCTGAAAGACTGTTCATTTATGTATTTTGTTAAAAATGGGTTCTAGGACGGCTCTCGGGCGATATGTAGGTCTCAGTATGTGATATCTCTCTCTATGACTTTTAGAAACTGGTGGAAGAGCTTCGACCCAGACGGGTTGTGTTTTTGACAGATGTAGATGGGATTTTTGACAAGCCTCCAGAAAAACCAGGTAAAGGGATATTTTAGATTTTAGGGCCAGGGACTAGAGGGTCACTTGTATTACTGATAATTTTTTTCCTCAAAATAAGATGGACCTTGACAGGAAAAGAAAATCTGTCGTTCTCTCATTACCTAGTTTAACGCTCACTAACTTTCTTATTCTACTAACTCACATAAAGCTTTCAGCATTGCTGATCCACCTTTACTATCCCATCTCTAGATGCATCATTACTTAGAGAAGTGTTTGTTAAATCCGATGGGGGATTTTCTAACGCCATAACAACATCAAGCCTTGAACATGACGTCACAGGTGGTGTTCGCGGCAAGCTTCAAACAGCTTCTAATATCATTCATCTTTCTAAAGGAAATACGCGGGTATTTGTCTTGAATATAATGTCGGGATCTGATGCATACTCTGTTTGTGCTTTGGGTGTTCTGGAAGGTAAAGGGACAGAAATATTGGCAGAAAACGTTTAGAACCCCGTAAATTTTACCTCGGTGAATTCTGATGTAAGGTCTTCCGAAAACCTCGTCTTCGTCGCTCTTGTAATGCCTGGTAGTCAAACATGGCCTAGTTTTTTAGATAAGACTCCCTTGCCATGTGAAAAACAACCGATGTACGTATTTTTGATACAATAACTAAAATAAAACGACAGAATAAATTTAGTATACAAAGCTATTGACATGAAAGAGGCTAAGGTGTACAACGTTTGGTGTACAGTAATCATTTCTTCCTAAGCATAAATATATGTTTTTTTCCTAAACAACAAACATGGTGAGATTCCTAACTGATACTTCTTGGTAGTTTTTTTTAATCAATTTTGCTTCGTTTTTCATTTATAATTTAAGTTGGTTTATATGGACGATACACAAAGAAACTTAAAAAGGGTTACGGTTTTTAAGAGGACGTGTGAATTTTCATGTTAAATTCCAACTGTTAGCAGTTTTGTCGCGTTAGATTGACTATTGTCTCAAAATAATAAAAAGGATTCTCTGGTTACATAGTGAGCATTGTGGCATTTTGTATTCATATGAGGGTTAATTGAGGTGTAATGTTCCCTTAGTTAATGCATAATACGACTGGTCTAGTTTTTCACTTGTCCTTGTTGTTTTTTCTTAATTAGGAAAACCTCCTACGACTTGCATATTGTCAAGCCATAATTACTTGAGGAGGAAATTAAAAGCCTCAAAGTTGACTTGAAAATTGAATATGTATTTAATACCTTTCGTAATTGAATTTGATATTAGTTGTTCTTTTGCTAACAGAAGACAGTTTTATAAGAAGTACCGAAAGATATCTTGTTATTAAAGCGCCTCATTTTGAGGAAACTCATTCCTTTGTTTTGTAGAGTTGAGATAAGGGTAGTCTATTGTGAAACATTTTCCGCTAAAAGCCTTTTTGACTCGCCGATTATGTAATTTAACTATTAATTTAATGTCATGCGAAAAAGCTGAAAAGCTCCCAATTTCATAGTGAAAAGGACAACCATGAATCCATGATGGCCGATCATGTCACCGTTATTTTTGGCCTCCCTAATATTTTTTCTTCTCAATTCATTTACCTTGTGACTGACACTTTATGCAGTGATGAAAAGTGTCGTTTCGTTGTGCGACAGACTTACTGACTGCTACCTTTTCTGTTGTGAGATTTTTTTAACGTAGCTGGTGTTTATGCAATCTTTTAATATCTATAACAGCACTATAAAATGGTCTTTAAGCATGTTATCGGCTAAGTAAACAGTATAGTCCTAAAAATTCTAATTAATATCGTAGTGCCTGTGAATGTGTTTACGACATTTTGGTGCCTTTTAGCCATGCTGAGAAAAACCAGAAATTTGGTAAGGTAAACTTCCTTTGTCAGTGTCGATTGTCCATCTTCCCATTATTAGAGGGAAGGATTCTATGTTTACAAGTTGCTAGAAATGCATATGGTTCATTCTGCTCGTTGAGACGGAAAATCTTCTTGTCTCTTGTCATAGTTTTTACTCTTCTATCTTGGAGACGTTGATTGAAGTTTTTATTACACTTGCGAAGTTGTACTCGTGCTTGGAAACGAATCAATACGTTGTCCGAACTACGTGATTGAGACAAAGGTGTTGAAATATGATCGTCGTTATTTTTTCGTAGCAGATACGCCATAAAGAAAGTAGCCGCAAATTACCATAACAATAATATGGATGCTCAGTGATTGATGTATTAAACACGTGAACATTTATCAGGATGTGCGGATTAAAGATAAAAATCGACAGGCCTGCTTGGTCGATTTGTATGATATTACATAATTAGAGCTTGTTTTGTTTACCCGAAGCACTCAAATAATTGAACTCTTCTCGTACAGTTTCGCTTAAATTCGCAGAGAGGCTTGTAAAATGGCCGGCTTTCGTATGCCCTTTACCCAAATTCCAGCGTTGCCTTGTTTGGACTTTCTGCAGCCCTCAGACTCGTACGTGGTCGGACCAACTATGCCGTCGAGCTCGTGCACCTTAGGCTTCCGTGGGGCGCCGCCCCACAGCTTTTTCAAAGGTTCCCCTTGCGCTTCAGCTATGAGAGATAGTGACCAAATCGTTCACACCATGCCTCAAAGAGATTCTGGCGAGTTGGAAACCAATATTATACCAATATCTTGCTACGAAGGAGCTTTCTTCACGGGCAGTACATTATCGTCCACAGTCCAGCATGGAATGCCTCCTCAAGCCTGGGATAACTCCCATCAAGACTTTCAAAGTGCCCAGCTAACCTTTCCCAGAAAAGAATACGATGGAAGCAACTTGAATTTTCAGAGTTTTGCTGCGAGTTACAATGCACCGCCAGGGTTGGGAATTGCTGTGGATCCACCCATCACCTATAGCCTGGCTCTGCCTGCGCCTCATAACCCACTAAAGTGCTGCTGGGTAGTTCAGCATCATGATAAAGAGCTTAGTTCTGTGTGCGATCAAGTGTTTGGCACCGTAGACCATTTGGTAGGCCATGTCACTGAGCTTCATATTTACAACAGCACCTCACTGCGATACGTATGCCGTTGGAAGGACTGTTCCAGGAATGGGCTTCCATTCAAGGAACGCTACAGGCTAGTGAACCATCTGCGAGTTCATACTGGGGAGAAGCCTTTTATGTGCATGTACCTTGGATGTGGTAGGCGATTTTCACGTGCGGAGAATCTGAAAATACACAAGAGGACACATACTGGAGAGAAGCCATTTCTATGCACTTTTCCCGACTGTGGACGCCGTTTTGGCAACTCAAGTGACAGGAAGAAGCACTCGCATGTGCATACCTCAGACAGACCTTTCTTGTGTCGATTGAAGGAGTGTAAGAAGCGCTTCAGTGAGGTTAATTCGTTAAGGAAACATATGAAGTTACACGAAGAGAGAGGCGATGTCTTCTAAGAGACGACCCCTGTAAATTAATAACTCATAGTCGATGAAAAAAAAACATTTTTATCTTTTTTTGGTCAAAAGCACTCTCGTTGTGTTGTATCTGTTGAGTATAGTGTAGAAGGTTTGTTTTCAAAGGTATTAGAGCTATATGAGGTCACGTTTCTTTGTCTTGCAAAGGAGATTTTAGTGATCCATGTTATCACGCTTTTGTTAAATCATGGGCATAAAGTGATTAAAATTAACAAAAATAAAAACAGTTGAAGACAGCTAAAAAGCTGTGCGTATAGTATCATTCTAATTATATCCCTCTGTTTTTTCCTACACACGTGTAACTGTAAGAGATGCAGCCTGCAGCTTATCATAGAGATAAAGAAATTGATAATCCTCCTTTGTAGTAGCTACGTAGTAGTTTACGTTAGGCATGAATCATGTACTGTATGGCTTGTCAAACCAATTTTAGGGTTGCCTTTTTGAAGTTTTTTTTTTCAAATTTGCCATTTTTTTGGGCTTTTCTGATCTGTTTTTGAACTCTTGAAACAGCTGAACTTTGTCAAACATTGGTGCCCCGGATTATGGTCCTCTTTGCACCCTAAAATTTAAAATGATAACTTTGTTATCAAACAAAACTGTGGCTGGACGACGAAGGAAAACATAAAGGTGATAAAGTATTAGGCTGTCCTTTCATGCGAACTGTTCTTAAGGGAGATGTTGAAGAGGCTGTTGTGTTACCCTGTAGGTGGCGCCTTTTCGGCGACACTGAATCAATGGACTGTGGGGATAAAGAAAGTGAAAAGAAAGATGGAAACTTAAACAGAAAGGTCGTAGAAGTCATTTGTAATGAAAGTTTTTAAAATTTAATAGTGTGATCTTTGAGAGTTGTCCAACTCTTGGGTGCATCCATCCTGGTTTATGCCAAGTAAACTAGTAAGTGCTCCTTTCTCGCGTTAGCATAGAATCATTGTTTTTTTGACAACTGACAATGTCGAACACCTGCTGTATGCTATAATACTGTCAATTACGGTGTTTTTCTCGTAGCACGATCCAAAATTTTGCCCGTATTAATTTTCCTTTGTAAGAGGGCAATGGTTCATACTTTTGAGTTCGGAGGTCGTCCTTTGGGTCCGTAATTTATTTTAACCAGACACATTTCAGGTTATCTTGTGATAATTACAGAACAGGTAATTCTATCTACGTCTTTTATTTTATGAGACATTTAAATGGGCTGATTAAATACCTCCAAGATCAGAGCGATAGTCATCTCGTGACGAAAGCACTCTTTATGGGAATATTAATGGACCTTAGACAAACCAATACAAGATTTAAATATTAATTCGAGACTTCAAGACAAAGAGCCGTTATGAGTCTTCTGCTGTAAATCAGCTCTTAGAAAGAAACGTCCCAATGGGAGTACTTTGACTTTGGTAGTAGATGGAATAGTGGAAGTCGTGATTTGTGGAAAGGAAATTTTAATATAATAATGTACCTAGCTGAAATTTAGATCGGAGGGTAGGTACAAAGTATACAAAAACAGTCAGCAAACTTCTTCCGTGTTGCCTTTCTAAAACTAGACATCGAGAGCAAAATTATGCAGATTGAAGTTGAGATTCTTATCTGAAAACCACGCAAATTAAATATTATTTAAAACGTAAAGAAATTTCATGGGTGTAATTCGTCTGCGTTTGAATGCCGATCCTGCTGTCATAACAACATCGCCTTGTCTCCATCGTCTCTTAGTTTCGCCTAACTTTCATGCCTATCGTGAAAAAACTCAAGATCTCAATCTGCTTCGCACATTTATTCGATGAAAACATTTTAACATTCTACCCTCTCCTCCCTAGAAGATGGGAAAAAATTAATTGGCTGAGTTTTTGGAATGGATTGTTGCTCTTAGGTAAAGAGGAATTTTTTTCGGCAGAAAGAGGAATGACTTCCCCAATTGCAGCTGCAGTTTGTGGTGTTTATGTGGTGTGTGTGTGTTTGTGGCGGTGATGGTGGATATAAGGTTTTGGAAATGTGGGCGATAAGGATGGAAGGGGTGGTTGAATGAAATTAGCACGATGAAACTTAACAAGTGCTGGTCATAGGGGACAGTAGCCAGGTAAGGGAAGAATGGGAAATGGTGCAAGGATCAATTTAGAAACGGTTATAAAAGCAGCACTCGCATTAAGTCGGGAATGAAAAGAGTCAGAAAAATTTATGAATACCTATCCAACATCGAAGGGGCTTATTTAGACTTGCTCAAGTGAAGGATACACGATGGTGGAATCAAGGCTTTTCGAGTGCGCAGATTGCCAGCCTTTAGAGTCAACGAGTCAAACCTGTTAGATTCTACTATTCACCTCTTTTAATTCAGTATACGTTATATGATCAGTCTAGAGGTCTATTGGGATAACTGAAGACTTCTCATATCCAACATGACGATCAATAATCATTACGCTTGAGTGAGCTAAAAGTTCAGTCGTAGGCCATAATTTCATCACATCATCCACTTCCCGCCTCATTTGAGTTGTCAACTATAAAAAAAAATTTTATGTCAAGAACTAAGTATGGCGGGAATAAAGTCACACACTCGCTGTGCAAGGATAATGTTTAGCATTTTTTTTATCGATTTTTATGTCATGGGTTTTTATTTATGCAAATTAAATTGATTTTGGACAACTACATACACCTTCTTTAGGTGGTAAACAGTTTTGGCATTGATGAGAACGAAAAAAAATAAAAGTATGTAACTATAAGAAGCTATCGTTTCCCACATGTCTTTCATCTGAATGCTTTTATCTAAACGCTTGTACAGCCGCTAAACTGAAGATCTACATAACATTAGCCATTACCAATTACATAAACGGCATTGGAGTTATCTGTTCCTGTGCAAAATGGATCATCGTGTTTGCAATCTTTGAAACATTGGTTCTTGCATTCGCCTACGTTGGCCACCATCTGAAGAAGAAAGGTGTCAGATGTGGTATTACCGCTCCAGCATTCCCCTGCATGAAAGAAAATTAAAATCCAGCATAAGAATCAAGCTTTCAATTTTAATCATAAATGATAACCTTAGGTGTTGCTGTGGATTGTTTAACTACGGTCAGATGTGCTAATTCCACAATTCCAGATAGCCTGGAGGCCACCTTGGTGGTAATTAGAAGGACATCGGTGCAGTTTCATGAGTTTATGAGGAATTTCGCTTCCCTAAGTACCCAAAAGGGAAACTATAGAAACGCCAATACTCAATTCCAACCCCAGTTTCTGATGCCAAAGATCTTCCATCCGTATCCTTTTTGCTTGATTCTTTGTGCACAGCGGCAAACAAAGTCCGGCAAATGCTTATACCAGTTAGGCCAGTCTATGCGTATCCCGCTCCAGGTCTTTTGCGCCTTGGGGTCTCTGTCACTGAGGACGTACTCAGGTAGGAAGGGTTGACTTTGGAATCTCATTCTGTAACAACCGAGTTTCTCGATATGAATGTCGCACATGTCTGTTGAAAGAGATCACTGATAAGTAAATTACAAAATGTGGGTCGTTAACGGGGTTTTTGTTTGAATTTGGTCGCATTAGCATGCCATTTAGCCCATAGAGGGCTTTGCGGTATACCAGATTTCAAATTTGGCTATTGCTAATGGAAGAATTGTATTTTCAGTTAAGACTATTTCTTTGAAATAGAACATGTGCTAATATTGTAATCAAACTTTCTTGAACCTGACTGAGTTTTGTCGAAACGTGCCGACCCTATGTTATTTTAAATCAAGCGGGAACGGAGGGGAGGGGAGGGGGGGGGGAATGGGGGAAGGGTCCCCATACTCGCTAAGGTATGATTTTATTCACTATAGCTACTGCTGACCACATTCACCTTTTGGCCGATTGCCTTTTATTACTCTGTACCAAGTGTTGTTCTGAGTTATTAATTAGGAAAAAGAACAAATTGGTACACGTGCTCCCTTGCATGAAGTAACAGTTTTCCTTTCTAAAGATTAGAAAGAAAATCGTCTGTTTTTATGCGGGCGCGCTTCACCTACACACAAGTCGTGTGTGGTAACTATGAATAAAACAACAGTAGAGAATGACCACAAGATACGGGGTTGTTCTCACCAACAATATGGTAGACCATCATTCTGTGGCGAATTCCACTGCAGTACCTCGTGTTGCTACAAGGTTGAAACTGACCATCCACGCAGTCGCTTGGCTCTGCTAGTTCCCTGGAGATCCATCCTTTCTGTCTCAGGACTGACAGTTTATCCGCCCAACACTCACCTTTAATAGTAAGATATACTATCTTTGTGTATCAATGCAATGAACTTGATCCATGTCACTAATTGAACTCTATTAGTTTTCATACTAATTAAGGTGACTTCCTAATATCATAATCATAATCTCTAAGTGTGTGAAATTTGCATATACGGGTGTAAAGCTTTCGTATAGAATGCAGCACAAATGCTGTTGATGCGAAGGTATGGAAGCAAAGAATTCCTTACCATAAAATTGGATACCGAAAACGTCGAATCCAAGAAGTTTGGCTTCATTCGCGCAGCGGCAGATGAATTCTGGTAAGTAGTTTTGCCAATTTGTCCACTCGATTGATTTTCCTCGATAGTTGCTTAATGTTGGGTCTCTCTCGTTTAAGATATAATTTTGAAGCAGGCGTTGATCAGTGCGATCTTTGTAACATCTCGCCGGTTCGAATGTGGTGTCACAGTGACACGGGTCGACATTAGCTAGGAATAAATTGATCATTGATAGGTCAATAAGTTGATTGCAATGCGTTGCATAGTAGCTCAGTTAGTAATAGCGCCCAACTTGGAAGGCCTGGGTTCGAATCCCTTCGAAGGCTGAATTTTTCTTCAGATTTGTTTTGTGCAATTGCTTCCAGCTCACCGGCGAGGTTCATTGCTTTTCTTTATTTTATTCCGCAGGTCCGAAATAAAATTTGTTTCATTACAAACTGTATCATAATTTCTCTTTTCCACAATGCCGGACAACGAGCGATGGAAAGTTTTTCTTACCTCTTACCAACGTGAGGGAAACTGCCAATACCAAGACTAACACGAAATTTTCCATTTTCGTCTCGTAGTGCCAGAAAGTCTCTATGTTAGAAAAGGTAAAACTTTAGTCCAAGGAATATTTGCGTGGAATTCAAAATGCTCCCATACCATCTTGATATTTATAGGAATCATGAAGCTTAATACACAAGAAAAAAATACTCCGGCTTTTTCATTTCTTTTGGTTCGCCTTTCGTGGAGTACCTCGCTATTTTAGCACTTAGTAAATGTAAAAAATATTACTTTAACGTCATTCCTGAGAGTGAATGAGGTACAGAGACCAAATCCGCATTATTTTCATAAGATCAAACATGGACATGGATTGTAAAAGAAACGTTCTTTTACGTAAGGAAATAATTCTATCTGTTTAGGAAAGACGTTGGCTGATCATTATCGTGATCTAGGGAAGAGTTTCATCCATTTCCTCTGTCCCTCAAAACAAAAACAAAAAGTTTTGAAATGCACCAATGCCTCAAATAGATTTGACGTACGTATACTTTTCCGTGATCACTCTGGACTGCTAACGTTTCCGTGATCTATCTCAGTCTGAAAGAATATAATTCGTTTACAATTGTATATGGGAAAATTTCAGAATAAGTGCAGAGATTGTAAATGTAATTAAAATGTAAATTATAATACAACAGAAAGCAGAGAGTTAATTTCTACTCACCAAGCAAGGTCTCAAAGACACTGTTGGTAAAAAACCCAACCGCTTTGGGAAATTCGCTACTAGCTGTTCAAGTTTGATCTCTGTTTGTACTCTATAGTGACAACTTTATTCTTTAGTATGACTTGACTTGTCAATTACAATTATTTCTAACAGTTTTGAAAGGAAAACTGAGGGCTGAATAGATTCAAGCACAGCTAGAGCAATATGTTTCTTTATAGAATTTCCCATGTCTGATTGTTTCTGACCTCACTGGTAAATGCAAAATTTAATCAAGGGAACACTCGTGCAAGTTGAGCAATAAGAAAGAGTCGGTTAATTTGATTAACATATGTTTGTCAGATGGAATTGATGGAAATAAATTCAAAATGAATTTACAATATCAGCTATGAACTTAGAGGACATGCATATAGGAAACAATTTCAGGAAATTTTTATACTCGACCCCACGTCGTCGCGAATGTAAACCGTTCAGTGTAATTGTGACTGAATAGGGTTGCAATTCACATTGAACTTCTTACAAAATAGATTTATAAATATCAAGAAATAACTCATCAATTTTTTGTCAGGAAAAAAAGAGCACAAGTGCGAAAACGAAAACCTCTTTGTTTTGTGAGTGATTGACCTTGTTAAATCATTGTCCATTAACCCTGTAACCCCTAAGAATGACTAGTATCTAATTTCTCCTTACAATATCATCCCTGAATCACACTTTAATGTTATGAGAATAAAGGAAATGATCAACTAAAGAAACTCTTGATTGTGTCCAGAGAACAGTATGGAGAATATGAATGCTGATGTTAGGGTGTTAAGGGTTAAATTGTTCACCTCTCTTCTAATCACATCAATGATTTATTTAATCAGAAATGTGTTCTTGTGCATGTGCACAACTCTTAGAGTCCCATGGGACGTATACTACTCCTAGTAGCAAAATCTTTCTCATGTTAAGATGCGTTGAGCGCGTTTATTTGTCTCTTTTTTTTTTTATCTATACAAGTAAATGAAGTAGAATGAAACCTTGTTTTACTTCCCAAGCCGTTGTTATGTTATCCCATGCAGTCAAAGGGGCTTCCAATTCATTTAGTTTTCCTACCTAAAAGCAAAACGTGACTTCCCTTGGAGCAGAGACTTCTAAACGTAAGTTGGATTAATTCTGGGTAACAAGTTGTGCCGGTTTTGACAAAAAATTTCGTACGGATTGTTTTATGTTGGTATATATATATATATATATATATATATATATATATATATTTAACACAAGCAAAATAGAGACCACCAGAGAATATTTGTTTTTTGGATTTATTTTTTTGTCATCTAGTTTCTTTTTCACTGAATTAAATATGTTTTCGTTGTCGTTCAATCCCTCTTAGTTTGTTGGGTTCCTTGATCCCTGCGAATAACTACCCCAGAATGTTGACCTTGTCCGGCATAGCGCTTCCTTCATCGATACGTTGTTCCGCTACGGGACAAACGATACAGTATCAAAGTTTATGAATGTTAAGAGAAGATGCACAGCTTTAGTATGCAAAGTGTCTTTAGTTAAAAGATACATTTTTTTTGGTCCGAGACGATAAGTTGAGACATTTTAGATACCCTCTACCCATAAATAATGTTGATTTGACCCTTAAGTAGGGTTTTAGTTCAAAATGTCCGATCAACATACCTGTCTCTCTCATACAAGAGTTTTTTCCCTTTTCATATCAATACGTGAAAGTTTTTATGCAGGCCGCAATGTGACGAAAAGAAAATCCTAGTTTTTAAGCAAAAACGAATTCTCACAGTTAGGTTACTCGTCAACTCATGTTTTACTTACTGATAACATATACAGCATTGGTAAAGTTCTTTCCTGTACAAAATCTGGTCGAGCAGGCGCAGTCATTAAAGCACTGGTCTTCGCATCTACCAGGCTGAGCATGCCCTTCAATATAGAACGCTGAGTCATCAGGGCCACTCCAGCATTCACCTGAGTTAAGGGCACAAAATATATGATAGAAGTGACTCATGAGCAGTTATTTAAATGAAAAAAGGCAGAACTTTATTTATTTTGCTCATCACTGCATTCATGAAAGTGTGTGGAACGAACTCTCTTTTTCGTTAGTTCTGCAGCCTCCCCTCAGTTGACGTGAGCACTCTTAAGATGACATACTGCCTATTAAAGTTAAGTAAATGCACGAAGAGTGATCAAGAATCGTGAGTGCATTCGAATAAGTACAAGCTGATGATATTATGGCTGTTGCAATGTGTGATTTTTGAAGATTTGCATTTAGGGGAATTGTATTTGCTTAATACAGAAGCCGCGCTTTTCTTTCTTCTGTTTTAATGAAACATAAGCTGTGGAAATTGGTGTTCCTTAAACTACTGTATGAAGGCCACATGCTCAAAATAAGGTACCTACGCAATTTGTAAAGTTGTTGGACTAATTCAGCAAGATTTTTCTTGTGGCTAAGTTTATAATGGGATCATTCAGTTGATTTATAAGAGTACAACAGGACCTCAATTCTCTGCGTCCGGCGACCCTCTACGAGTGAGGAAACATATTGAATAAATATCTCACCCCAAAACTGAATTCCAAACAGTTTCCAGCCTTTTCCCTTCGTTTTCTTTGCGCAGCGGCAAACAAGATCAGGGAGATACTCGTACCAGTTTTTCCAGTCAATCAGGTGACCGCTGAAGTTGGGCAAGTTCTCATCTCTGTCATTTAACAGGTATGATGGCAAGAGGCGTGGAGCTTCTTTGTTATCATGAAAGCAGCCGATTCGCTCAAAACGAACACTGCATAAATCTAAATCAATCCGTTTCACAATGTGTGTTAATAGGCTTATACAAAACTACAGAAGAACACCAGAAAAACTTCACGCCGTAGAAATGAAGCCACCTCACTTTTCTGAGCTTTTAATGGTTCACTTCATTGAAACATTATATTATTTTACAAAACTACCTTATCTACTGAGTTGTGACGCCATGCTGACAAATTGCAATTCCCCCCACTCAAAGGCATCACACTGAAATCCTTGAATTCTTTTCCTTTCCATTTCATACTACTCCAATTCACTCCTCTCTACACGAATTCACAAATATTACTATCAGGAATCAGTTCCTTTACGCTAGCACCTCTGATGCCACAGAAATTTGCTACCCTACGCCTACAACTACCCCATTTACTTCGATGCAATGAAACCCATTTTCACCCATTGTAGTCGACTCAATTTTACTCTATCATTACTAAATCTTCTTCTACAATTCCATCCTCTCTCTCTGTGTTTAGTTCCTTCCATTCCATACTCTGCTGACTCTGTTCCTATTCCCTTATATCCGCTACGTCACACAAACCACACCAGGTATACTTTACTGCATATGGATGCAATGTTTTGCACTTGTTCCCACACCCATTTCATTTTCTCCCATTCCATTTTTTTCTTCATTTCTTTCCACTCCTTTCACTGTTCTTCACTAATCACTGCTCGCCCTCATTCACTTGTATCCGAGTCAACTACTGAAAACTTTCAGATGTGTTGCATTCACTTTACATCTTTGACTTAATTCCATTGAACTTAAACCTTCACTACCGTTACTATTACCACTATTCCTACTCTTAGTACTCTCACAATATTCTACTGTACCCAATATGATTTATGATTGATGCCTACCGACAATCTTGTACACCATGTTACGCCATTCCTTCCCTACACAAAACTTTCTCCCATTGCAGTCGTTCATGTCCGTCCCGACGCAATCTTTGCACTGTCCCGGGCCATACCTGTTATATTGATCCGACGAGCTGCTTCCAGCGTAACATTCACCTATAGGTAGGTCATGTAACATTACCTAATAAGATATCAATACCGAGGGATACTATCTATACAAATTCAATGCATGCTAAGAGCCAGTATGTAAATCATATCAGAGCTCATCCTGGTCTCAGTAGTATGGTGAAGCCGCTTCGACTAACTACCCCTAATACTTACCAAAGTGCTGCATTCCAAACAGGTCATAACCCAGATCTTTTGCTTTCTTGGCACAGCGGCAGATGAACCCTGGTAGATAGTTTT